GAGGGTCTGAGTGGGTTCGAGTCCCACCGGCTCTCATCTGGAGGGTCTGAGTGGGTTCAAGTCCCACCGGCTCTCATCTGAGAGGGTCTGAGTGGGTTCGAGTCCCACCGGCTCTCATCTGAGCGGGAGCCAATTTCTGGCTCCCCATCTGTTTGAAAGAACGAGCCGACTCGGACTTTTTGGGGCTTCGCCCCTGTTCGAAGGCTACGGGCTCCATCTAGAGGACGGAGGAACAAGACCTCCTCCGCAATCTCCATCTGAATTATTACTTTCGGTTTTGCGCCGATCTCGTGCCGCGCGGCTTGTGTTGTGTTCTGTCTGTCTAATTGTGGTAATAAGTGTGATAAGTGTTTTCTATCTATCTGAAAATATGGGACAAACTGTCTCTACCCCCAAAAGTTTAACTTTACAGCACTTCAAGGAAGTCCGTGACATCGCCCACAATCTCTCAGTGGAAGTGCGAAAAGGAAAATGGGACACCTTTTGTTCATCTGAGTGGCCAACCTTTAACGTGGGCTGGCCACGAGATGGCACCTTTAACCTAGAAGTTATTTTGCAGGTGAAAGCAAAGGTCATGGACTCTGGACCCCATGGACATCCTGACCTAGTCCCATATATCATCACGTGGGAATCTCTGGTCAAAGATCCCCCATCATGGGTAAAACCTTTCCTTCCCCCTTGCCCGAAACCTACACCGTCCGCTCCCTCCCTTCCTCCGCCACTGATTCCGACCCTGGTTAACTCCGCCCTTTACCCGGCCCTCACAAAAGCGGTACCAGCGGAGACCTCCGGGCGTAAAAAGAGACCTCCGGTGCTGCCGGCAGACGAGGGCCCCCTTCTGGACCTTCTAACTGAACAACCACCCCCTTACCGGGGCCCAGCCCCCGCCCCTGAACAACAGGCAGGGGCTGCCGGGCAGGGGTCACCGGAAGAACCCGCCTCGTCACCGGAAGGACCCGCCTCGTCACCGGAAGGACCCGCCTCCTCACCGGAAGAACCTGCCTCGTCTCCGGTGGCAGGGCGGTTGCGGGGGCGCCGGGAGGTCCCTTCCGGTTCTTCCTCCCAGGCTCTTCCGTTGCGGACGGGGCCTGACCGTCAACTCCAATACTGGCCCTTTTCTGCCTCTGACTTATATAATTGGAAAAATAATAACCCTCCTTTCTCAAAGGACCCGTCTAGGTTAACAGCCCTCATTGAGTCCATTCTAGTGACTCACCAGCCCACCTGGGATGACTGCCAACAGCTGCTCCAGATGCTGCTGACTACGGAGGAAAAACAACGAGTCATCCTGGAAGCCCGTAAACATGTTCCAGGAGATGATGGATTACCTACTCAGTTGCCCGATAGAATAGACGCTGCTGTCCCCTTAGAACGACCTAACTGGGATTTCTCCACTGAGCGCGGTAGGGAACACCTACGTCTTTATCGCCAGTTGCTCTTAGCGGGTCTCCGAGGGGCTGCAAGACGCCCTACCAATTTGGCCCAGGTTAAGTTAGTGACTCAAAAGCCAGAAGAATCCCCCACTGCTTTCCTAGAACGACTTAAGGAGGCATACCGTATGTACACTCCATATGATCCAGAGAACCCAGATCAGGCAACCAACGTGGCCATGTCTTTCATTTGGCAGTCCGCCCCAGATATCAGAAAGAAGTTAGAAAGACTAGAAAACTTAAGAGAAAGTTCGGTACAGGACTTGTTAAAAGAGGCAGAGCGGATTTTTAACAAGAGAGAAACACAGGAAGAAAGAGATGAGAGGCTAAGAAAAGAAGCAGAAGAGAGAGAAAATATGAGAGAACGTAAGAGAAATAGAGAATTCAGTAAGTTGTTGGCCACCGTAGTGACAGGTCAGAGACAGAATAGACAGGACCTAGGAGACCGTAAAAACTATCCAGCAGATAGAGACCAATGCGCCTACTGTAGAGAAAAAGGTCATTGGGCCCGTAATTGCCCAAACAAGCCAAAGGGGCCACGTAAACCCCGGCCACAAACCACCCTGCTCAACCTCGAAGATTAGGGGGGTCAGGGTCAGGAGCCCCCCCTGAACCCAGGATAACCCTCAACGTGGGGGGCCAACCTGTCACCTTCCTGGTGGATACCGGAGCTCAACACTCAGTGCTCACCACATCTCCAGGACCCCTGTCTGACAGGTCAGCGTGGGTCCAGGGGGCTACTGGAGGAAAAAGGTGCCACTGGACAACCGAAAGAAAAGTACTACTCTCCACCGGTAAGGTGACTCATTCTTTCCTACATGTACCTGATTGCCCTTACCCATTGCTAGGGAGAGATCTATTAACCAAGCTCAAAGCACAGATTCACTTTGAGGGGACTAAAGCCCATATTACGGGGCCACAGGGACAGCCGTTGCATGTACTGACCTTAAACCTGGAAGATGAATACCGGCTATATGAGCTTGAGGGGCCTCTGGCCAAGAACATATCTGACTGGTTAAATAACTTCCCATCTGCCTGGGCAGAAACGGGAGGAATGGGGCTGGCCACCCAACAGCCACCCCTAATTATACCCCTCAAAGCAACCGCAACTCCAGTATCCATCAAACAATACCCTATGTCTCAAGAGGCCTACCGAGGAATTCAGCCCCACATTAAAAGACTCTTAGACCAGGGAATTCTGACCCCCTGTCAGTCTCCCTGGAATACACCCCTCCTTCCAGTCAAAAAGCCTGGCACGGGCGATTATCGCCCTGTGCAAGATCTAAGAGAAGTCAACAAACGGGTAGAAGATATACACCCAACAGTCCCTAACCCATACAATTTGCTGACTGGATTACCACCAACCTATGTATGGTACACGGTCCTGGACCTCAAGGATGCATTCTTTTGTTTAAGGCTTCATCCACAGAGCCAGCCTATTTTTGCCTTCGAGTGGAGGGACCCAGAGTTGGGACTATCGGGGCAACTCACCTGGACTAGGCTCCCACAGGGGTTTAAAAACAGCCCCACCTTATTTGATGAGGCGTTACACCGGGATCTGGCCGACTTTAGGGTTCAATACCCTGCCTCCTGGCTGCAGAGACTGAGGAAAAATGTAGAGAAGGAACAAAGGCCCTCCTAGTCACCCTGGGAACTCTAGGGTATCGGGCCTCGGCTAAAAAGGCCCAAATATGTCAAAAGCAGGTTACGTACCTAGGTTACCAGATTAGGGATGGACAAAGATGGCTAACAGAAGCACGAAAACAGACAATCCTGAGTATTCCAGTGCCTAAGAGCCCACGACAGTTGAGAGAGTTCCTGGGGACGGCGGGGTTCTGTCGGATCTGGATCCCAGGGTTCGCAGAGCTGGCTGCACTGCTCTACTCACTTACAAAACCAGGTACCCTCTTTACCTGGGAAAATGAACAACAAAAAGCCTTTACGGCTATCAAAAAGGCCTTATTAACTTCCCCCGCATTGGGACTTCCTGACTTAAATAAGCCCTTTGAGCTATTTATTGATGAAAAACAAGGCTATGCAAAAGGAGTCTTGACCCAAAAACTGGGACCCTGGAGGCGCCCAATTGCCTACCTGTCTAAGAAACTTGACCCGGTGGCTACAGGATGGCCTCCCTGTTTGAGAATGGTCGCAGCAATTGCTCTCCTAACTAAGGACTCTAGTAAGCTAACTATGGGACAACCGATAACAGTTCTGGCTCCTCATGCAGTGGAAGCCCTGGTTAAACAACCTCCGGGTCGATGGCTTTCCAATACCCGTATGACCCACTACCAGGCCCTACTGCTGGACGCTGACCGCGTACACTTTGGTCCGGTGGTAGCCCTCAACCCGGCATCATTACTCCCCCTATCGGAGAGTCCAGAAACTCATGACTGTCTCCAGATACTTGCAGAGGTACACGGCACTCGGCCTGACCTAACCGATCAGCCCCTGCCCGATGCTGACTTCACCTGGTACACCGACGGGAGTAGCTTTCTGGACAACGGAGAACGAAGAGCAGGGGCTGCGATCACCACTGAGACTGAGGTAATTTGGGCTAAGGCTCTACCACCCGGCACCTCGGCACAACGGGCCGAACTCATCGCCCTGACTCAGGCCCTCCGGATGGCGAAAGGTAAGAAGCTCAACGTTTATACCGATAGCCGCTATGCCTTTGCCACTGCACATATTCATGGAGAGATATACCGGAGAAGGGGACTATTAACTTCAGAAGGAAAAGAGATCAAAAACAAGACTGAGATATTAGCCTTGCTTGAGGCATTGTTTTTGCCTCTAAAGCTGAGTATCATCCACTGTCTGGGTCACCAAAAGGGAAATAGCCCTGAGGCTCGAGGCAACCGTCTGGCAGATGAGGCTGCCAGAAAGATAGCACAACAGAAAGACTTTACAATCTCTCAGACCCTGACCATAAAGAAAATAAAGCGAGGGTCTATTCTTCAATATAGCCAGGAAGACCAAAACTTACTCAAAGAAATGGGGGCCACCTACCAGCCTGAAACTCAAAAGTGGATATTTAGAGGAAAACCAGTGTGGCCCCAACGTATGACTTATTATTTGATTGACCAACTTCATAAGCTAACCCATCTGAGTCACAAAAAGATGAAAACCCTCCTTGAAAGGGAGGAGGACACCCACTATCTGTTGGGAAAGGACAAAATTTTACAACAAGTTGCCGAGAGGTGCACCGCGTGTGCACGAGTTAATGCTGGACAAAACAAGGTGGGCTCCGGGGTCAGAGTGCAAGGGCACCGACCCGGGACTCATTGGGAGATTGACTTCACAGAGGTCAAGCCTGGACTATATGGATACCGCTATTTGCTGGTGTTCACGGACACTTTCTCCGGATGGGTAGAGGCTTACCCTACCAAACATGAAACTGCAAAAGTTGTCACCAAAAAGTTGTTGGAAGAAATCTTCCCCAGGTACGGTATGCCACGGGCGTTGGGCTCTGACAATGGCCCTGCATTCGTCTCCCGGGTAAGTAAGTTGGTGGCCACATTACTGGGGATCGATTGGAAATTACACTGTGCATACCGCCCCCAGAGCTCAGGACAGGTAGAGCGTATGAATAGAACAATTAAGGAGACTTTAACTAAATTAACGCTTGCAACTGGCGAAAGAGACTGGGTGACCCTCCTTCCCTTGGCGCTATATCGGGCCCGGAACACTCCTGGCCCTCATGGACTTACCCCCTTTGAAATCCTCTATGGTGCCCCTCCCCCAGCTGTTCATTTCCTAGATTCTGATATAGGTGGCTTCGCTAACTCTCCTTCCCTTTAGACTCATCTGCAGGCGCTTCAAATAGTACAACGAGAAGTGTGGAAGCCTCTGGCAGCTGCATACCAAGAACGACTAAACCAACCTGTGGTACCACATCAATTCCAGATCGGGGACGTGGTCTGGGTGCGACGACATCAGGCCAAGAACTTGGAACCGTGCTGGAAGGGGCCCTACACTGTACTGCTGACGACACCTACAGCCCTGAAGGTAGACGGCATCGCCGCCTGGGTCCACGCCTCCCACGTCAAAGCCGCCGCCCCCGAGGACCAGCTCGACCACCCGGACTTGAAAGCCAGATGGAAACTTCACTGCACTCAAAATCCACTAAAGATAAGATTGACTTGTGGGGAGCCCTAATAACCTTGTGTTTCGCTTTAAGTCTGAAAATAGCCTATGCGTCCCCACATCAGATTTACAACTATACTTGGGTCATTGAAAACCAGGCTGGAGATATAGTTATGACAAGCTCCTCTATTGGGGCCCAGCCCCATTGGCCAGATTTAGAAGTGGATCTCTGTGCCCTTGCCCTTGGAGCAGATACCGACTGGGCAGTTTCCGATATCTTCTGGCCTCCTCCTGGGGGCCAAGCACCTGAACGAATTACCCCAGGACGGGCCACCAACCCAAGCTGCGTTAATTCGGTTGGGAGGGCCCTTTTACGGGGTCCCCCTGGCAGTGGGGTAGGGGGAATTTATATATGTCCTGGCACCCATAGAAATAGAACTCTTAATCATAAATGTGGATGGGCAGATCAACATTTTTGTGCTTCATGGGGCTGTGAAACTTCGGGAGACACTTATTGGAAACCCTCCTCTTCCTGGGACTACATTACGGTAAAAAGAAAGACCTGGGAAAGCTGGGGGGAGTCTGCCCCCCTTAATACGTTCCTCCAGGTAGTTGAGTCAGGGGTATGTAAACCCCAGGGAAAAACCAAAGGATGGTGCAATCCCCTGTTGATTCAATTTACTCCCCAAGCCAAACAACAGATTTGGACTTCCCAGGGTTTCAGATGGGGCCTTAAGGTTTATAAAGATCGAAAAGATATAGGTCTCACTTTTAAAATTAGGCTCCAAAAGACTTTACCGGCTACCAAATCTGTGGGCCCCAACTTAGTCATATCAGATCAGAAGAGGCCTTCTCAACCAAGACCTCTACCCATATGGCCAATAACTCCAAATACTTCTGTTACTTCCCCTGGACCCACCACCGTGGGCCCCACCATGCAACCTTGGAAGCCTGGGTCAGGAGACAGACTCCTTAATCTAGTGACAGGAGCCTTTCAGATACTAAATCACTCTGATCCTGGCAGGACCCAGGAATGTTGGTTATGCCTGGTTTCAATTCCACCCTATTACGAAGGATTAGCCATAATGGGTGATTTCTCTAACTATACTAGCCCTCCAGTGAACTGCTACCCCTCTGCCCAACATAAATTAACTCTGTCTGAGGTATCAGGGCAGGGACTTTGTGTCGGAACAATACCTGCTGCTTATCAACAACTTTGTAATTCTACTACCAATGTTAACCCAGGAGATTACTACCTGTCTGGTCCAAATGGTACCTTTTGGGCATGCAATACCGGCCTAACCCCCTGTATATCGGCTATAGGTTGGAATGCTGGTTCTGACTTTTGTGTTCTCATTGAATTATGGCCTAAAATAGTATATCATGAACCAGACTATGTTTACAGACACTTTGAGGAAAGAATTCGATATCGCAGGGAACCTGTGTCTTTGACTCTGGCAATAATGCTGGGGGGACTAACAGTCGGAGGCATTGCCGCCGGAATTGGGACCGGAGCCACTGCTTTAACAGCAACTACCCAATTCCAACAACTACAACAGGCTATGCATACCGACTTACAGGCCTTAGAAGAATCAGTAAGTGCTCTAGAAAAATCCTTAACCTCTCTGTCAGAGGTAGTTTTACAGAACAGAAGGGGGCTAGACATCCTCTTCCTACAAGAAGGAGGATTATGTGCAGCCCTAAAAGAAGAATGTTGTTTTTATGCTGACCATACAGGCGTAGTTAGAGACAATATGGCCAAGCTTAGGGAGAGACTTAGTCAGAGACAAAAACTTTTCACAGAGGGACAGAGCTGGTACGAAAAATGGTTTAATAGAGCCCCCTGGTTTACAACCCTCGTTTCCTCTCTCATGGGCCCCTTAATCATAATCCTCTTGATCTTGTTATTCGGGCCTTGTATTCTAAACCGGCTAACCCAGTTCATAAAAGACCGGCTCTCTGTCATACAAGCGTTGATGTTAACCCAACAATATCATCAGCTCAAACAACAGGAGACAGACGTTAACTCTTCCTAGGCCCGAGAATGGAAGATTCCATTCTAAGTTAAAAGAAAATGGGGGAATGAAAGATCCAGCTTCACCCTGAGTTAAACATAGCTAACGCCATTTTGTGAGACACCACTGTTTTGTAAAACTCTGAAGGCCAGATGAGAAACTGGAAAATTACTGAAAACACCCAGCTGTGTCACCCACTTGGGGTATTGTGGTCAGGCCGCCCCAATTGAGCTAAAAACAACTTGTTATGACCACCCTCATGAGATATCTGTCAGAGACTGCTCCAACCGAGATAGGGAAAGACAAAATAACAGATGGCGGGCCACGTCAGGGGGTCATCATAACCCCCTTGACCACCCAGCTCCTGGAATCTTGGTGCCCCTGCCAAACTTTGACGCAAATCATGGTCTCATGAAAATGTACCAATCAGCCCCCTGTAACCATGCCCTCTCGCTTCTGTCTCAGTGCTTCTGCTCTAAAACCCTATAAAAACCCCAGCTTCCTACCTGGGGGGCGCGGAAGTCTCCCGAAAGACTTATCGCCCCGGGTACCCGTGTATCAAAATAAAGCCTCTTGCTGTTTGCATCCGAACGCCTGGGCTCGTTGATCTTTGGGAGGGGGTCTCTCTGACGGAAGATACCCTCCAGGGATCTTTCATTTGGAGGCCCCAGCGAGATCTGAGACCCCCCACCCAGGGACCACTGACCCACCTTCGGGAGGTGAGCTGGCCAGCCGTCTTTTCTGTTGTATGTATCTGTCTTGTCTGTTGTGCGCTTCTGTGTCTGTTCTGTTTGCAATCTGAGACTTGATCAAGTCATCTGAATTTGGCGGAAAGTAAGAAGGGGTTGACGAACCTGGACTTCTGTTCCGCTGGCCCGGGGAACCGTCCCCAGGGTGAGAGGGTCTGAGTGGGTTCGAGTCCCACCGGCTCTCATCTGGAGGGTCTGAGTGGGTTC